GATCGGAATTGTTTTCAATGATATTCTATAGTTAATTGACTTATTTTTTTTTTGTAAGAACAAGAATTATTGATCAAATGACTTCATGTTTTAAATATGTTTTTTGTGTTTGTATTTTGTATTCACTCAGTTGCACTGATTGGAGTGTTGGAATATTGCTGGGTTATGTTGAACTATGGTGGTCGTGGGTTCTTATATTTGTCAGTGTGAAAGTCGCGTGATCTTGAATAAGTCATCTTTCCTCATTATTCCAGTCGACCCAGCTGTAAATCCAGGAAAAATCATTACCAAGTGGTCTGGACAAAGACCAGCTGGTAGAAAGGATCCTCGTGAAGTTGTTATCCTTGTAAAATCATTACCAAGAGGTTTGATCAAGAATCAGCTGGTAGAAAGGATCCTCGTGAACCTAAGTTCTTATCCTTGTAAAATCATTATCAAAAGGTTTGGTCAAGGAACAGCTGGTAGACAGAATCCTTGTGAACCTAAGTTGTTATCCTTGTAAAATCATTACCAAGAGGTTTGGTCAAGGAACAGCTGGTAGAAAGGATCCTCGTGAACCTAAGTTTTTATCCTTGTAAAATCATTATCAAAAGGTTTGGTCAAGGATCAGCTGGTAGAAAGGATCCTTGTTAACCTAAGTTGTTATCCTTGTAAAATCATTACCAAGAGGTTTGGACAAAGACCAGCTGGTAGAAAGGATCCTTGTGAACCTAAGTTGTTATCCTTGTAAAATCATTACCAAGAGGTTTGGACAAAGACCAGCTGGTAGAAAGGATCCTTGTTAACCTAAGTTGTTATCCTTGTAAAATCATTACCAAGAGGTTTGGACAAAGACCAGCTGGTAGAAAGGATCCTTGTGAACCTAAGTTGTTATCCTTGTAAAATCATTACCAAGAGGTTTGATCAAGGATCAGCTGGTAGAAAGGATCCTCGTGAACCTAAGTTGTTATCCTTGTAAAATAACTGTGCTAGGCTATAATTATCCAGGGAATAAAGTTTAAAATCAGAAAGTAATGAAAGCAGTTAGATGTCCTTGTATATTCATAGCGTTTATTTTTAAATACAATTATCCTTTGTTTCTGTTAGAGCATTTTTTCCGTTGTTAACTTTGATTGAGAAATGACGTTCACAGAAGCAGTACTAACCTAGATTTCAAACTTTTAATAATCACGCATTTATCTGAAGATGACAGATCAAAGTGCGTTTCAGTCAAATTTAAAAAAACTATTTGAACAGTTTTTCTTTTCTATTTTACTGTCAAAATTATCACAGCTTTATATAAAGATTATCTATTTTGTCGATGTCTGTAGATTTTGTGTTTTGATTAGTAATTATAACTGATAATTTTAGGATGGTGTTACATCCTCTAGGTTGGCTGAGACATATACATTAATATTGTCAATGTCTGTAGATTTTGTGTTTTAATCAGTAATTATAACTGATAATTTAAGGCTGGTGTTACATCCTCTAGGTTGGCTTGGTATGTATTGATTACTAGAAACATTAGTCCTGTCAGTGATATTTACTACTCATTAGAAAGTTGGTTTGATAGTTAAACTTGTAGTTATTATTGATTTTAAAGTTCTGAACTCATTTCATCATCAACTCTTCAGTACCACTATACTCTGTATATTATACTTGGTTTGGTGCTTTACAACCTCTAGGTTGGCTTACAAGTGACTTTATGTGTCTGAAATCAGATTATTGATTACAACCTCTAGGTTGGCTTACAAGTGACTTTATGTGTCTGAAATCGGATTATTGATGTAACGTTATATGTAATTAGTAAGCTACTCAGTTGATCTGATCACTTCAGCACTCTGTGTGTGTGTCTTGTGCTTTGTTTGGTGCTTTGCACCCTCTATGTTGGCTTACTGTGTATGGTTAAAGTATAGCTTTGGACTTCAGGTTCTTTACATTCTCTAGGTTCTATATAGCAAGTGAAACTGAAAAATTTGTTAATCCAGTGTGTGATATGGTTTTAGGATCTTTACATTTTCCAAGTTGGCTTAATGCTTCTTCAAAAATGAAAAAGTGAATGTTCTTCTCTCTAGTTTGGCTGGTTCAGGATTCTCTTGCCTTTATCAAGCAATAATAATCTGGCAACTTCCATTAAGATGTAATATATTGAAATGTTGTCAAAATGTTTTTATTTACGTTTTTAGAATATCTTGTGATTCTGAATTTCATTAAAATTTTGATCTGTTATTTTTTTTAGGTGGAATATGATCAGATTATATTTCAACATCTCAAAAATGTATTAAAACTTTCTGTAATCTGAAATTCATAAACAATTTCTTTTGTTGAAATGTCATAATATGATTTTAATACCTTCATTTCATTTTTGCCATATCATAACTTTTTGTGGTTTTAATCAATTTTTTGAAAATTCGTATCCCTTTTTTGCATTGAGATTAAATTTATGAATTTTTTCGCTGAGCTAGGGATTACACTTTCTGTAGTATGAAATCGTAAACAAATTTTGAAATTTAAAAAGCAATAAGGAAATCAGAAAATATATTTATAATTTATTACTAATATATATTTAAAATCAATTTATCTTGCTACTGATACACCTACATCTTCACTAGATATTATGAACTAGGTCTTATACCTTGACTGTTATAGCCACAGATATATATACCCTCTATATTCACAATGTTAAGCTGTTACCAACATCGTACTAATACCTTGACTGCAACAGGCACCTTTCTTGTATCATGTAAGTTCGTAAATGCTGTATGTTAGGGAAAACAGCCAATCAGAGCTCTTGACAGAAAGACATTGTAGCTTATTGTTAATGGATTTTCTGTCGATGCCTCTGATTGGCTGTATTAGCTAGTGTACAATCCAATCAAATCATTGCAATCTGTGATACTAGAAAGGTGGTTATTCAAGCAAGGTTTAATTGAGGTATATTGTGAAGATACAAGAAAGGTGACTATTGCAGTCAAGGTATAAGTACAAAGTTTGTCATAACTTGACATTTTAAGGATGGTACGCCTACTGCCCATAAATTCCTTGCCGAATAATATTATATCTGCATCCTCAGGGGCCTTAATCTCAAAAACTTAACTTAAGATAACTTTTATGTTCAAGCCATCTGATTGGACAATCACTATAATCGATTTTAAATTGAGTTTTATTATCCAATCAGATTACTGTATTTCTTAAATCAGGATTATATATTTGTTGAGTTTTCGAGAATAAGTCCCCTGTAGACTAATCAAAAAGTTCGCTCGTTTACGATTATCACTAAAATCGTTATTTCATTAGTTAAAAGGAATTTTAAGAGATTTTTATCGGCTGGTTTTATTTCCCGCGACTGAGTTTAAACTTTGAAAATTGATTGAAATTTTCATTTTAACTCTGTGCCATTTAATTAAAAGTAATTGGAAACATTTTTATTAAGATTTTAGGACAAGTTTTTCAATATAAAGAGATAAACTTCAATTCTGAATTATGTCTTTATTTTGATCATCGTTTAATTTTCTGTTTCTTAGTTTTTAGCTTACGTCAAATCATCCATAGAAATTTTGAATATCTCTTTTGAAGGCAAAGATTTGTTTGGGGGGAGGGGACATTTTTTGTCCCTTATAAATGTGGCTTGTGTTTAGGTAAGATATCATTGTAAACATTCATTTTGATGAATTGGAATTATGCAAAGATTGGTTGATATTTCATGTGTTTATTGGAACAAATAAGAAGTAAATATTTTTTGATAAAGACAGTTTTGAGTGTAATATTTATAAATCATTCAGGTCTTCCAGGTTGTTTGTCATTGTCTCTCTGTAGTTTTGAGAAAGTCTTAGATCTAATGTAAGTTTTTGTTTCATGGTTGTCAAATTTCACAAAGGCTTGATTATGTGTCTTCTTGAATTTCTATTTTATATTTGATGTCTTTGGAAGTTTTGACTTATTTTTGTGTGTAGAGTATTATGATATCTATTCATGATTTAAGGGTTTTTTTATTTCTTTTATTACAATTTTGTTAATTTTTCATTTTATTCCTTATTTTGTGATTTTTATTTACAATATTTTTTGTTTATTTTTATTAGGGATAAAGAAAAAAAAATGTGGCAAAAACTATTTAGTGAGATTGGAATATTTATTCTGAATTTCTGAGAACTGTTAAACTTTTCCAAACTTCTTGCAGAAAATCCTCAAGATTTGCTCAAATTGTAAAAAGGTTCGTTCTTGGATTTTGAAAGCTGTGGAACTCTTCCAAACTTTTTGAGAAAATATTGTAATAATCAGAAATGTGTATTTTGCTTTGTTTATACAGAAATTCTGAAAACTAAAGAACTTTTTCGAAACTTCTTGCAGAAATTCTGAAAAAATGATGAAGGAATCTGTATAGGAGAGGAAAAATAACGATAAACTCAAACAGATATCAGATATTCCCCAGATAAATTGACTTTATATTGTCTTAATTATATATTCATTAACAGAGCATTATGGGAATTATTAAGTGACGATTTATTCAGATTTATTAAAGTGCCACCAGGAGGTGTGAGGAACGACGAGAACTTTCAAGGCGAATAACGTCAATATCTGACTTTTATAAAGTCGGTCGATTCTAAAGTGTGAACGTCAAATTAAATTCTACGTATATCAATATCGTATAATTCTCTGATAAAAAACGTCATTGAAAATTTTGTTGAATAAAAATGGGAGTGAAAGGAAATAAGAAATGTGTTTTGAATTGGATTCTAGAATATTAAATAGTTTTTACGAGTCCTAAAGGTTTTAAGAAAAGGATTTTGATTTTAAATTTCTTTAGTGACTTTGATTCAAAAAAATTTTTTCAAGCATTTTGTGAAAGGATTTTTTTTTCTGAAAATGTATTGAATTGAAATTTTGACCTTAAATTGATGTTCTGGGAAATATTTGAATAAAGGAGAATATATTTGAAAGCCGTGTGACTTTTTGATATTTATATAAACTGTGTTCTTCAAGGATTTATGAAATTTTAGTGTGAAATTGCGCAAGAATTCAAAATGTTGAAATCACCGAAAGTGTCTGAGATTGACACGAACTTATTGCTGTCCCCGAAACACGGTTCACTAACCGATCTCACGAAGGAAGAAGATGACGTATTCGAAGGAGATTTAAAGGCCAATCTTGGATTACTACGCCGTGCGTTCTCGTCAATGAAACGCAGGCGTAGACGTAAATCAAGTAGTGATACGACTACAAGTTTAAGAACGAATAAACATGAACCCTTACGTGCTGTGAAATCTTCACCTCCCCCCTTGTCTACCTACGCTTACTTCAGCTGGTAAGTTATTTTTCATTTTTCACATCAATTTGGAATGTAAAAATCCAATTTGATTAATCTAACATCTTTTGATTAGAATGTATTAAATAGAAGGCATGAGTTGGCTCAGTGAGAAAAAGTGTCTGGTTGTTAAGATGGGACAATTCCTCAAAGTCCTAAACCCAATCATCTGAAAAATTCCTCAAGCGAATTTGTATATCTCGCTTAAATAAAAAACAGCTTCCAAAAAAAAGATGGTTTATTTCCAGCAAGTACTAACAATCCAAATCGCAAAACAAAGCTCGAAATCCAAAACTATATTTTTGCAAAACATTGGTAG